AAATAGAAGATTAAATAATAATTAAATATAAAGTTAAATTAAACATAATAAAAATAAATAAAAATGATATAGTTATTTAGTAAATAATTATGAGGTTTTTTCGAACAGTGGTGAAATACAACAACAAAAATTTATTTTTTATATTATTTTAATTAATTGAATTTTTGGCTGACCATACAGCTATTTCGAGTATTGCCAAATACCCTTCATCAGTGGTCTTGGAAATAATTTTTGTATTTAATTATTCGTATATAATTATTTTTGAGACTGCAAGTACCAGGAATCGAACTCGGATCCTGCCAAATGTGAAGCTCAGAATCAGCGCACCTTAACCAACTGTTCCAAAGCCGTACTTGACTTTTTTGTTCGCATATTTTTCTGGAGTTTTGTTACTTTTGCTGTGAAAGTTTTTATTAACAATTTTACTTGCTGTGTTTATATTAGAACGAAATCATAAATCAGCTGTATAATAATTGAATTAATAAATTAATTATAATTTTATTTTCAATTGTTAAATTTCAATACTATTCTGTTCGTAGAGGCATTTTTTATTGTATGATTTGTTCTTTCTTATGTATAGAACCTAATCTAGGAACGTAATGCTGAGAAAAATAAAATAAAATAAAATAAAATAAAATAAAATAAAATAAAATAAAATAAAATAAAAATAAAATAAAATGAAATAAAAATAAAATAATATAAAAATAAAATAAAATAAAATAAAATAAAATAAAATAAAATAAAATTAAATAAAATAAAATAATATAAAATAAAATAAATAAAATAAAATAAAATAAAAATAAAAGAAAATAAAAATAAAATAATATAAAAATAAAATAAAATAAAATTAAAATACATAATAAAAATAGAGAATGAAAATAAAAATAAAAATTATCATCGGATATATCGTACGCATGCGTTCGATAAGAGTTCCGTGATCAATTAATATTTTCGACGAGTTTTAAAAATCTGATCATTTTAAAAGTTTCAGTTTTTAAGTAAAATCTAATAATTAATCTAAATCACTAAGAAAGAATATAAAACCTAAATATAAACAATTTTAATTTTTTTTATATTTAAAAAAGATTTTATTTGAAGTCGCTTCGAAAACAGATGCTACAAATTAGCCTCTATTATTTTTAATTTTTTCCTAAAATATACGAGTTTATGTATTTTATTAAATGAACTCATAAAAAGAAATTTTTCAGCGAAATGTGAGATGATGAGGTCGAAAGCTATTCCTTTTGTTAAAAAGTGTTTTTCAGCACTACGGAGATATAGAGCGTAAAAGAAGAGTATACCAGAAAAAAGTTTCTACAGAAAAATCTGAATAGTTTTTTGAACATCATTTGATTTGATGTCTAATTTTGTTTCTATAATTATCCCTTAAGCCAAACTATGAACTGAGAACAATAGTGACAAACTAACAAACGGAAACATTGACGATTTTTAAACTTAAAGTTTTTGCAGATGGAGCCTTTTTTCATACCGTGCATGTCAGTACATATTATAAATAAACTTCATTCCATACTACTCGTATAAGGTCCTCGGGTGTGTACAGGAAATAAATTTCATTGTCTAAATCTGTATATGTTTTAATATAATATTCTATTATACTATAATTTTAATTAGATGCTATCTTTAGTAGAGATATCGTCATTGTTATAAAAAATTTTAATATAAATTGTTATTCACAATTATTTGTATAATAATATGTACCAACTTTAATTAAATATAATTTGTTTGCAGTTATCAAATAAACTTTTTCTCGCGTTTCTATCATAAATTAGTTAAATATTTTTATATTTAATTATATTTTAATTTAAAACTTTTCACATTTTACGCTACGTCAACGTGTGCATTTGTATAGATACTTTATTTATAAAATTTAAACTTCTGAACAGACCTTTTTGTATGAGGACTTGTATATACAAATGAGTAATAACGATAAGCGTTTTAAGTGCACACACATTTATATGATGAAGGAAACTTTTAGTATTTTAATTCACTCAAAAAGTGACACTAACTAAATATTAAGGAGCCATTCCACACCTGTCGGAAGGCTCTTTGAAAACAATCTAATATGCGAACGTTACGCACCGTGCATATAATGGAAAAGTGAACAATCCGACAGGGAGAGGCACAGAATAATAAAAGGAATTTTGGAAATTGTAGAAGAACTTTAATTGGGGACATGAAAAAGGAGGATACATTACAGTTCACTTAAAAATTGTTATTTAATTAGTCAAATATTCAAATTAATCACACTTTTGCAAAAAATAAGAATTTTAGCAAGTAGACCTCGGCTTGCAAAGATGTTTCTAGTGCGGTGAAATAGTCGAATCACACATTGAAAGAAATCCATTTAACTATATTCATTTCAAGTAATTTAACTATAAACTTTTCTATGCACAAAGTAGAGTCACCAAATTGTATATATTGCGGCGCTGAGGATGAAACCGCAGAACACACATTCTTTGAGTGCAATAAGTGGTTGCCCGAACGAGAAGCACTAGCAGGACAAGTTGGTATTTTCTCTCCAAGGACGGTGACAGAAAAAAATGACCGAAAACAAAACAAACTGGGATCGCGTAAAAATGTTTGCTGAGAAGATCTTGAGATTGAAAAAAGTAGACCTTGACAGAAGACAGCTGGAGTAAACAAATATACCACACCAAGATGAAGGGCAAGGTTAATGTCATGCAGCAGTAGCGGCCTGAATGCAAGTCACACCCATGAAAGTCTTAAACGATAGGGATAGGACAAGGTCTTTACGAATGCGAATGTATTACGAATGTAATTTAGTCCGTGCCAGTCGGACACTCACTTTCCGGGTCGCCGGATTGTGGTCAGTACGTAGGCATTCCTACTCCGCAAAAACAACAAACAAAAAAAAAAAACAAACTTTTCACGTAGTCGGATCACTCAACGAAATAAATAAATACATTCATTTGTATAACACAAAAAATAATTTTTTAGTCTATAAAGTAAGGATATGAAATTTTGCACATAAAAATTAATAAAACCTTAATTATGATTAAAAGTAATGGACTTCATCATATATAGCTCATATGAACTGTTTTTAACAAAATTAAAACAAATTCGGATGGCTCTGAGGACGAGGAGGAAACTGTGTTCCATCTCATGTGTCATTTTGTGCCCATCTTTAACCAGAAGAAGATCAAAAATCTTGGGGGCCCCTTTTCTGACTGATCTGACTGAGCTGTTTTTCCAACAAAAAATATGCTTTGTTTAATAAAAAAAAATTTACAAGAAAAATTTTCCCCCAAGTAAAGGTCAATATTTCAACAACTCTTAAATTTAAATTATTTAAATTAATTTTTGTTTATTTGAAAAAAAATATTAAATTTATACTTAAGTATTGAATGGTATTAGATTAGATTAGATTTTAAGACAAGTTGAGAACTTTTCACCAAGCCTCTGCATCCTTTGAGGATTACTGTGACATATCCATTTTAGTTCCATAAACGTTTAGCAGTTAGGAACGCCATTATGTCCTTTGGAGAGATGTACTGGATAAGCAATGAAGTCTCAGTCTGGCAAGACTATCACAATATCACAAAATGTGTTCTGCTATTTCCTTTTCTTCGCAACAAAGTCTGTAGCTATCGTTTCTAGAAATACCTTCCATTCATAG